AAATGAACGAAATCACACCACCAAATGCAAGTTTTCAGGTGGGCTGAAAATGTAACTTAAATTATCAATTTCAGAAACCAAATTCAGTATGCCTGAAGTTGCACCTTAAATTACTATTTTCAAGACTCCTGAAGTTGCAACTGAATATAGTACATTCAGTTACAACTTCAGAAACCCTGAAGCTTTAAATTTCAGACCCAATTTCTGCAAGGCTGAAATGCTGCCTTAAATTATAAATTTCAGTTGCAGTTTTGTTAAAACTGAAATAAAAAAATTAAGGGTGCCTGAAAACAAGGCTGAAACTACCAGTTTCAGTGGTAGCATAATGGTAGCCTAAACTAATAGATCCAGACGCACCGAAAACAGCACTGAAAACAATAAATTCAGGCGGCACTTCGGTCTGCCCGAAACAATAAGATTCGGGCACGCTTTCGGCCCGCACCGAATCTGCACCTGAAACTATTAGTTTCAGTGTCCCTGAAATTCTTCTACAGATGAGCGGTAGATGATCTGCCGCTCATCTGCACATGATCCACATCCTCACATTTTCACTGGTCTTCACCTGCCGGTCATCGGTACCACTCATAAAAGAATGATCTCAGCATGTTCTACGGCAATTTTGAAGCTGTATTTTGTGAATATCAATTGATTTTCTGTTGTGTGCGGCACCGATGAGCCCTACTATGGATGATATGCAGATGAGCGGCAGATGATCTGCCGCTCATCTGTAGAAGAATTTCGGTTGCGCTGAAACTAATGGTTTAAGGTGACATTTCGGGAACAGCCGAAACGACGCCTTAATCTTATTGTTTCGGGCGGGCCGAACCGCCGACTGAATTTATTGTTTTCAGTGCTGATTTCGGTGCACCCTAATCGATTACTTTAAGTCGCCATTATGCCACTGCTGAAACTAGTAGTATCAGCTTTGAATTCAGGCACCCTTAATTTTATTATTTCAGCTCTGATGAAATTGCAACAGAAATTCATAATTTAAGGCACTATTTCAGCCTTGCAAAAATTGTACCTGAAACTTAAAGCTTCAGGCTTCCTGAAGTTGTAGCTTAAGGTCATATATTCAGCTACAAATTAGGGTATCCTGAAAACAATTTCTTAAGGTACAAAATAATGGTTCCCTAAATTGGCTTCTGAAACCAATAATTTAAGTTACATTTTCAGGTCACCTGAAATTTTGCATTTGGCGGTGTGAATACTGTATTATTTCAATCAATTCGACAGGGGGTGTGACTGACGCAAATTTTCCAATTCGACAATTCGACACGCGCTAAATTTTGCGTGATCAGACCGAAAATTTCGACAAACGAACCGGAATTTTCGTTAAAATCAAGCTTTTTTGCACCTCTTCGACGCGTTTTGGTGTGACGAACAGCTGGGGCGGTTCGACAGATACCCCCGTGACCCGTGACACAGCACCACTACGGCAAACTACCGGCAATTAGATTTTGGTGCAAACAGTTTAACAAGTTATGGGATTGAAGTTGATTCAGCGAGTTGCCCCACGCGAGAAATTCCACAGCTCTACCGAGCACCCACTATATATATGTTGGGCTTGTGGAATTGAATTTTCTGAAATTCCCAATCGGACCCTCGGTGCAGATGATACTAGTTTTCAAACACCATCGAAGCTAAAACGAGAATTCTACCCACCTTGCCTACAACGTGCGAGGTAGTACGAGCTCCGAAGCGCCTGTCTAGGGGAGACTACTTGGAAGCTGGTGGCAGATAATTTCATTCATTGAACCGCATGCCACTCCGCCAGGAAAATCGAGTTCACACGCAGGTTCAGCTCGAAACCGAATATGTTCAAAGTATGTGAGAAAAAATAACGAGTGTAATATGAACTGTTCGAGTCATGTCTGAGTTATTTCATTCTACTTAAGAAATGCGACGTACGGCGGGAAGCAAGATATCTGTTCGGGGTTGCATTGCGTCCAGACGCTACCAAGGTGTGCGTATACTTCCTCGTTTTGTCCCAGAAACTCTCGCCTCCACCTCCAACTCCCACATCTCTCGCAGCTTCTCCCTATTCGTCTCCAAGTCCGCATTTTTATTCGTGGTGGTAATCTCCGCCTGAAACAATAGGAGCTTCGGGGAAAATATATGCAGATCCAGCAGCTGATTGGTCGCAGACCGCACGACTCTGGCTGGGTGGACGCTAGGATCCACAATGACCACAATACAATTTAGCGTCTCCACCCCAGTCGCCGCCGCTACTAACATACTAATGAACGACAGCTCCGTGAGGTACGGGAGTGCGAAGTGCGTAAGCCTCGAAAAAGTCGACAAGGCATGGAAACTGTGCGAATGTCCAACATGCAAAGATGCGATATGCGGCCAAGGAGTTCGGCAGTACCGGGTGTTGTGAGGTGCAAAAAAGGTATTACATGTATACCGACCAATCCAGAATCGGCGAAGAGGGTGATGTGGATGTTGTGTGTGGTAGCGAGGAATTCGCGAGTTAGGTGGATTGTGGCGTGGGGATGGACAGCGGAGACGAGGAGGGGCAGTTCGCTGAGTGCGATGTGGTGGACGTTGGGACAGACTTTCATGAAATCAATTAGCTGGTGGCCTTACGTGAATGAAGAATTGATGAGGAATCAGTGGAGCACAGATTCAACTAGTATCTCACCATTCCAATGGTTCCACAACGCGTGTACGAATTTACCAAGCTCTCGCTTCTTCATGATTCGGTCGGCCTGTAGGAATTCACCGGCGGCCATTTTTGCGGAGAACTCTGGCAGTGCCAGTTTATCGAGTGTGAGTCCCACTTCACAAACGGTGTGCAGGTGGGGTACCGCGAGATCACGAACCCACTGAGCTACTCGGCAAAGCGTGGCGGCAGTTTGGGTTGAGGAAGCTGCGGCGATTTCGAAGATTTCGACAACTAGTTCGGTGGGCAGATCGATGTCAACTGGCTGTAGTTTACTAGTGCATGAGAGAGATAGCACAAGAGACTCTAGAGTGTTCGATGTATCCGTCATGGTGCACGAAGAAAGGGGCTCCTATAACACACGTAAACACGGCGAACGATTACCAAACAACGCGTACGCGTCTCCGTTGCGGACTCTGCGTAGTCTCACGTAGTCAGACTCTGTAAAAAAAGTTCAAAGATAGTCGATGAATTTAATATAGACTCTGCGTGGTTAAACTGGGTTTAACTCGCCTATTCAGATTTTAGCAGCTGCAATTTCTCAATGCAACCCTCCTAAAATATTTAGTTAACTCAGTTCAAGTTTGGAATCACATCACTTCTGTAAACACACATATTATGAATTCTGAAATTAGATGATACAGGGCGGCCACTAATTTCAAACACCGGTACCATCGAAGCTGCCAGCGAAAGTCCAACAAAACCAAATTCTACCAACCTAAACCCTTGCATTAATATTAACATATGGGCTCCCGTTATTAAAATGGGGGATTATGAACTTGAGCATCAGATGGCGCTGTTCACTTCACGGGGCCAGCTGAATTTTCTCGCTGCCCCGCTGCAAAAAGATAACCATCCACGACGCGCAGCATTTTTCGCAACGACGCCATTGAGGGCTGGTGTATTTATTCAATGTATCCGTATGGAATTGCAGTCCAGTTCTGGTGATGGAAATTGGATGTTCAGGTGGATGTGGTTTTTTTACTGCCCACTCTTCTACTTTCTTAGAACCTTCCGCCTCCCCACCCCACTTGAAAAATGCCCCACCATTCGCTGAATCTATTCAACTGCAGATGCTCTATTTCTAACACCGTGCGGCGACTGGAGGCAATTTTAGGAATTATCCTTGCTCCAATATATTTGTTCAGTGGCTTCAGAGAAACCAGCCCCTACGGTAGTATTCCACTTTACTGACCCATTGCTCGCTGAATCTCGTTCCGCAAACGCGCGGCCAAAGGGTCTTTAGACGGCCTTCAATTTCGCCCTCTCCTGCCTCTAACGGCAGTCATTCGAGGAAATCTTTCTAGGATTATTTCCCCATTTTTTTAGTCGCCATAGCTCGTCGTTCTTCGTGCCGCTTGCTTTCCGCGCACAGTAAGATCAAACACATCGTTTTAAAGCCGTTCTTACTGTCCGTTTGTCACACGCGTGGATTCTTTATGCCACTTTAATGAATCTGTTTCAACTTAGCCTGCATCTGTAACTGCATTGCCGTCTGGGGTCATGTTTGCACTCTGCATAATTTCGCTAGAGGACTCGGTACATATACACATATATCCGTAGATTCTACCCGGCCTGGAAGTATATAAACACCACGTAGCATTGAATGAAACTGAAATCCGCCACCACCCACATCTAACTGGGATATGACCCGAGAGCAACTCAACAGTTCCAAAAGGAAAGTGGTTGGTTCCTCCATCCGAGTCGAATCCGATGTCTTCACCTATATAGCACGTCGTATTTGGCAGCCGATTTTATCTTCGTGCTTGCTTTGTTCTTGAATGATCCAGAAGGATAAAAAACCACGTCGTGCGATTTTTAAAGTCGCTGGCCGCTCTTCTTCTTTGTTCTTTCGAGCCAGCGGCCATTGTTGAGCCTCTGGACTTGAAGCGCATTCGACATAAGTTCCAACCCAATGCGGGCCTGATTTGTTTCATGTATTAGATGCCGAAAATAAGATGGTACTCTACATGTATATATGTGAGTCTGAATGCGACTCTAATGTCAATGAGATATGCTATTGATATTGATACCTTCTTTTGCGAACGATGAAGTCGATGCGCATGTCAGTGGTGGTGCGAAATTACCTGTATAATAAATATAATTCAGGGTTCGCTCTTTATTTTATTTTATCTTCAATAACGATCAGCTTGTGATGAAAGAAAGACCTAGTGGTGTAGTGGTAGCATGTCTGCATCAAGTGGAAGTGGAGCATAGGACTTGAGCAGAGGGGTCCCTGTTCGACTCGGGGCTGGGTTGTTTTTTTTTTTTGTCATCATTTTTTCAACTAGCTGAGGACTATATTAAGTTGAATATTTGGAGAAATGGGAAGGACCTAGTGGTGTAGTGGTAATACATCTGTGTTGATTGCTGTCTTCATATCAGACTTCGACAGAGGACCTTTGTTTAACTCAGGGCTGGGTCATTCATTTTTTCCCCCAGTTCATAATCGGTCGGACAATGCCTTTAAAATTGAATATTTGGAAGGGTAAGAAGGACCCAGTGGTGTAATGGTAACATGTTTGTTTCAAATAAGTATTATGTATTGGCCATGACTTGAGCAGAGGATCCCTGTTTAATTCAGGGCTGGGTCATCCATTTCTTTTTTCTGAGTTCATCATTTTCAGCCGGTCGGACAATGCCTTTAAAATTAAATATTTGGAAGGGTTAGAAGGACCCAGTGGTGTAGTGGTAACATATCTGCATGAAGTGGCTGACATAATGCATACCTCAGTAGAGGACCCTTGTTCAACTCAGGGCTGGGTCATTCCTTTTGTTGTCATCATTTTTTCAACCAGCAGAAGACTACATTAAAATGAATATTTGGAGGAATGGGAAGGACCTAGTGGTGTAGTGGTAACATTTCATGAAGTGCCCAGTTGTGCTGTCTTCCCATACTTCAGTAGAGGACCCCTGTTCAACTCAGGGCTAGGTCATACTTTTTTTTTCCGAGTTCATCATTTTTTCAACCGGTCGGACAATGCCTTTAAAATTGAATATTTGGGAGGGTGAGAAGGGCCTAGTGGTGTAGTGGTAACACATCAACATGGAGTAGTGAGGAGGATCTACATTTCAGTAGAGGACCCCTGTTCAATTCAGGGCTGGGTCATTTTTTTTGCTGTCATCATTTTTTCAACCCGCAGAAGACCATGTTTGAATTGAATATTTGGAAGAATAAAAAGGACCCAGTGGTGTAATGGTAACACATCTGCATGAAGTAATCCAACCCTTCATGCTTCAGTAGAAGATCCCTGTTCAATTCAGGGCTAGGTCATCCATTTTTCTTTTTGAGTTCATCATTTTTCAGCCGGTCAGACAATGCCTTTAGAATTGAATATTTATCAAATGGCAAGGACCTGGTGGTGTAATAGTAACACATCTGCATGAAGTTACTGTCATGAATCCAGACTTTGGCAGAAGATTCCTGTTCAACTCAGGGCTGTGCCATTTTTTTTGGTTTCATTAAATTTTTCAATCAGTGTTTCAAACTGAATGTGTGATGAATCAGGAAGGACCTGGTGGTGTAATGGTTACATGTCTGTGGATGGTGATCTGGATGAACAAGTTGATAACTTTACATGGAAGTTCCCTGTTCAATTCGGGGCTGGGTCATCCCTCTTTTTTTTTCCGAATTCAACATTTTTCTTTTTTTTTTTTTTTTTTTTTTTTTTTGGTGGTACGTTGTTGGTAAACAAATAGAGTGGACAATTAGCAATTGGCTAGTTTCCAGAACTATATCGTAAGGAACAGGGGGGGGTGAAACCCCCCGAAGAAGAATTTTAAGTCACCACCCAGGGAAATGCATTTGGCACGAAGCGGGGTGCGACAGTGTGGGATTCCGAGCTATCGATTCCGTCCCCGCCGGCCCGAGGGCTGGGAGGGGGGATGTGATGTTCTGGGCTCGATACCCACTAAAACCCTGGGTCCTTTGGTCCAGTCTGGTTGTAGGTTTTCCTCGTCCAAGAGTGTTTTGCTCCATGTCTGGATGACGAGGGATGAGGGGATGGAGTTCTGTTTGCCATATTTGGCATGATTTGTGAGAAAACAATCAAATTGCAGGCGTTGGTTTATCGCGTGTAACCACTTATTATGGATGGCATTTTCGGAGAGCGCATCACCAGCTCTCTTGATTACCACATCATTCCGAATTTTCCAGATCGAAAAGGCGGATTCAGAAATGAGAATTCGGAACAGGCGTGCAATGCCTTGAGACTTTCGACCATTTTCATCGGAGAAGGATGCGAGGCCGCAGCCGAGGATGAGGCCCATCGACAAGGAAGGCCAAGATGGATGTTTTTTGAGCCAGAGTTCTCTTGCTAGAGACCAGACTAAACTTTGACCAGGGCGAGTGCACTTCAGAAGGATATGTTCTAGATCTTCGGTTTCATTACAGGTCTGACAGATGCCACGTTCCTCGCACTCCGGAATATGTTTCCAAAAAACCCCGATACGATGAGACGAGTGAACTGATTTCCACAGGAATTGCTTTGCCTGGCGGGAGAAATCATTATTTCGAAAGCTGTTCCATATTTGGGATGCTGCTGGCAGGAGATCGAAATGATCACGGAGATCTGATATGATTTGACTAATATTGTCATCTGTGGACTTCCGGACTACAGGTCCCCTCAGTTCTTTTATCCCGGCGTAGGCGACTCTCTGGGTCAAGCTTGACAGCTTCGCTCCTCGTAGCTGGAATTGGGGCTCAACTTCAAAGTTGACTGGGGTTGGACCCATGTCTCTGGCGCCGCTTCTCGCGAGTACTAGTGCACCAGCCCGGCCATCTAGCATTGTCTTTTCCCCTCCTGGGTCGCCACAGGTGAACACGGTTCGGCCGGAGCGTGCTTTTAGCTCAGCCGCTAGAGCAATTAAGGGTTCTCTGTTCTGGATCCCAATCCATCCCCTGTCCTCCATTTTCTCAAGACGGGTCAGCATCACTGTACGTGTGAGGCCTTTAGCACTATCTATAGTGAGTGATTTGTCTCGTGGAACTAACTGTGTTCCAACCAGTGCTGCAGTTGGTTCTGCAACCTGTGCGCACTGAGGTAAGTGTGTTGGGATGCGAATGGATCGATTTCTGGTATCATTTTCGCCATACCATACTCCTCCACCTGTGGTGGCCTTCTCTCGTGAGTTGCGTTGAGTGGCGCTGCTGACATGCAGGACTAATTCTTGTGTGTGGAAGTTCAGTCGTGGTGGATGGGGAGGTGGTGGTGGAGCCCCATCACTCTTGTGAGTGTTGGCAAATACTCGAAAACCGTCAGTGAGGGAAATTATTTGTGGTGGCGGTCGAAAAACATCGGGGTCTTCCTCCGGCTCCTCTTCTTCTTCAGGTTGGACATTCCTCGGGTCCCATTTTGGAAGCAACCGGCTAAGTTTGCGCTGTACAGCACAGACACACGCATGTGGATCCGGGCATCCGTTCGAGGTACGATCCTCGTTACATGCCACACATTTACATGTCTTGGATGGTTTATGGGAAGCATCTCGCAGGCGCTCTATAATCCGGAGGGAGTCCCCTACGTACAATACCCCGTGGTTATCTCGCAAGCATGCAAGTGTCTTAGAGTTATTCCCCCGGCGTTTATCTGGATCTTCTCCAAAATGATGGAAGAACGGTAGTTTATTCCTGAGGGGCTGAGTTGGATTAACAGTGTTGAAAACCACGCCATACTTTTTAGCGCAGTTTAGCATACTTTTATGGCGTGTGGGCCACTTCTTTTCGTTAGGCTTCCAATTCTGGAGGAACGCATTTACCAACATGGCAGGGTCGGCATGTGAGTCCTTGGTTACAATCTTCTCTAGGCGCACGTCTAGCATACAACCCCACTCGGCCCGTGATTCGGGATCGAGATTTAAGTAAGATTTCAATTTCATAAGCTGGAGTGCATCATTTCTTGCTCTCAGATCTAACAGGTTTTTTCCTCCTTCGGAGCGGGGGGCCATGAGTACCTCAAGCCGTACAGGAGAAGATTTTCCACCCCACAGGAATTCTCTCTGTGCTTTCAGGAGGTGTTTCAGTATTTGGGGAGGCATTTCATTTACTTGTGTAAGATATTGGGTCATGGACCCAATGGTAATCTGGATTATCTGGCAGCGAGCCTCAATGGTGGGGTGGAGCCTGTCCCAGCGGGCAAGAGCAGCATCAATTTTTTCTACAACAGGGGTCCACATTGCAAAGTTACTTATGTCATTCCCTACATGGCCGCCAAGGATGCGGACCGATTCACCTTCTTTGGCGATGTGGATATTCTGGGGAATAGCTGAGTCTCGGACATTTAACCGACGGCTATCTATAACGGATTTTCGGAACTCCAGGGAGCCCATTGGGATTATTTCTGTCTTGGCCACGTTGAACTTAGCACTCGAGGCCTGACACCATTTCTGCAAAATCTCCTGCAGTTCATCGAAACTGTCTTCAGCGTCTAGGTAGACTGTGGTGTCATCGGCAAACATTTTTACAACCACCCTCTCTAGAACCCGTGGTACAGAATACCCTCGCAGATTCGAGCAGCGCAGCATGTGCGCTAGAGGTTCGATAGCCAGGTTAAATAATAGGCAAGAGAGCGGATCACCCTGTCTAACCCCCCGGACTATTCTGAAAGCAGAACTTATCTCCCCATTTATAACAACATGGGTCTCGGCTCCTGCATAGAGGGCTCTCACAGTATTTATAAAGAGTTCAGGGATGCCACGTTTCCTCATTGTTTCCCACAGGTAGCGGTGCGAGGTTTTATCGTATGCTTTTTCCTGGTCGAGAGCAACAACAGCTCCGTTTCGGAGGTCCTCTTCCGCGTACTCTAACGCCTCCATGGCCAGATATATCTGGTCAGCAATTTTTCGACCTTTCATGAAACTGGCTTGGTCTCGATGGATTAAAGTTGGCGCTATTCGAGATAGCTTATTTGTGAGTGCTTTCGTGAAGATCTTGTAGTCGTGATTTAGGACTGTAATTGGTCGGTAATTTGCGATGTCCGAAGGGTCTTTTTTCTTCCAGATGGGACACATCCATCCTGTGGCAAACTGGGTACCATCAACGACTCCATGTCTCTCGATACTATTATAGACCCGGGTCAAGACTTTGACCACGTTGAAAACTGGCCGCTGCGGACCATTGGCTGCCTTATTTGCTCGTATTGACTCGAGGTAGAGCTCATGTAGCTTCTTCCATAGTTCCGCTGGAACCCCATCCATGCCGGCGGCGGTGCCGGAGGCGGCCTGTAGCAGGGCCGTGAGGACATCAGCCTCAGTTAGAAGCTGGGAGAGCAATTGCATGTCAGGGTCATCTTCATGAGAGCTCAGACCATCCAGCGCTGCCGCAATGGCTGCGTCTTTTGCCTCTGGGTCGAGCTCTGTCTCATCAAATTGGAGATCGTTATGGTAGTCACGGGAAATTTCGGCCATCTGACTTGACCGTTTACTCCCCTGGGCTGGGTTCGTATCTGTCCGTTGCAGGTATTCAATGGTGTCTCGCGGCTTGCTCTCCTTGCTCATCCGGACAGAGAATTTTGTGATACGATCCAGTTCGGTATGGCACCGTATACGAGTTTCGATGCGCTTTCGCTCACGCTGTCGTTCGGTTATATCATTTATTTTTTGTTGGACAGCTGCAGCTTTCTCCGCTCTTGATGCCTCAGTAACCGGCTGTGCCTCCTCATTTTGGGCTGCGCACGGGGGGTCCGGGTCTGGGTCTAAGACTGGTGGAGTGGCATCTGGCGCGGCGGGGGTGCTTGGACCATTTAAGGTATCTATCTTTTCTTTTTGAAGTTTTCGCTTGCTCTGTTCAAGGGCCCCAATGGCCTCTTTTGCACGTTTGCGTGCAAAATCCAAGATATCATCCTTGAATCTCTTGAAATCGGTTTGGATCGCAACCATGTCGTCAGGTGAGGCATCATTTTTTAGCTCAAGTTCGCACCCCTTTTTAATAACAAAGTCCATAAGTTTCTTATCCCGGAGGAGGAACAGTGGCATTGTATATCTACCTTTCCCAATATATGGGGCACCTGGTGCAGAAAGCTGAAAGGATACCATCCTATGGTCGGTAAGACTCCCTGCCGCATCGCTGATGGACCAGTGGCGGGAGTGCTTTATTACTGAAGGTGATGCATAGAACCTATCTATGCGTGAGAGGGTTACAGAGTGGTGGTTACTTGTGAAAGTGTAGTCTTTTGTGTCGGGATTTATCATTCTCCAGCCATCTTTAAGGTCTAGTAATCGTTTAAACCTGGCCAAGGCAGCCACTGCACCTTGTGCATCACTGTGATGTGGAAGCCTATCAATGGGCTCTTCGACTAGGTTAAAATCTCCGCCCAGCGAGTCGGGTACAGGGAGATCCGTGGACAGCCAGAGCTCGGAGAGGGAGTCCCAGAACTTTTCATTCGCTTCCATCGACTCGGAAGGAGCATATACACCAAGAATTGTATGTGTGCGCTTGCCATGCCAGGGAACTACTGCAAGGATCGCCCGGCCAGGGATAAGGTAGTGGACCTTCACTCCTTTTGTATTGGTGATTTCCTGGTTCAGGACTATTGCAACACCTTTGGTACTGGGGGCATCAGGGTATGGGGAGTGGTAGACATCCATCCGCCTCCCCAGGATATGGTCTTCTTGGATCTCTATTGCTTGTTGCGCTGACATGTGAGTTTCACATACTATCATAATTCCAATTTTTTCATCAAACATAAGGCGGTTCAAGCCATGCCATTTATGATCGGGGTGGGATATGGACTCTTTCTTGCGACCATTTATATTGATTGCACTTATATTCAGATGAGCGCGAGTCTTCCTGCTTATCGGCGGGTTATTTTTTTGCTGGTCTTCTCTCTTTTTACTGAAAAAGGCGGGAGCATGTTCATCATCTCGTGGGACACCGGGATTTCTACCGGATCTGCGGTTTGCAGGTTGAGCTGTTCGGGCAAAGTTTTGGCCCCGGTTGGGGCGGCCCGGGATCGGGCCTGGTGCTGGTTGGGCACTGGGTGGCGACGCACCATTCACGCGCTGCGAGGGATTTGAGGCAGGACCTCTTCTCCCGTGGTTCGCATAAAGGCTTTGGTTCAGACGACTGTCGGACATGGGATTGCTCATCGGGGGATTTCTCTCCCGATTCGCAAGCCGTGTAGAACGACGAGTCGGCTGGGCGTGTGTGCTCACGCCACCGCCTTCTAAATTTCCGCCTCTGTCATCGGGGGCATGGCTGGCAGTCAGTGCCACATTCCCTCCAAAGACGGAAAGGGCATCTCCTCCGTTCACTTCCTCAACCTCCAAAAGATGAAAAGAAAAAGGCGTTGAATTTACGTAGTCTGGGCGCCAACTAACACCTCAGATACGGGGCAGACCTGACCGGCCTCCAGGGCGAGCGATGTCACAAGTACTTTTCCACCTTCCTGAATGGGCAGGCACGGTGATGTTCCCGGTAACTTGAGCCTCTCGGCGTGGCTAGCTCAGACCTAAACAGGCCTCCACATAATGTGAACCTACAGGCTTTCCCGTTCGAGCGGTAAATTTGGGCCCAAGGTTGCTGTGATTTTGCACAGGAAAACATCGAGGTATCTGGGCGCCGGCACGCAAATCCCATTTGTTGCGGAGATGCAGGCTTTTCTTGTGTGCACAGACTTTAAGAGAGGTATCATCCAGACTTTTTGACAATGTGTATGATTAAGTACGTCTAAACGGACTTTTCGAGACTACATTGGAGATATTTTTAATAAAATAAAATTGCATATTCTCAAGAGTTCAGATCTGGGAGCCAAGATCGTAGATATTTTCACAATAGTTTATGAGAAGGGGGAACAAAAAGTAGTCATATTCGGCGGCGGAACTGAACTCGGAACGAAACTCTATATAGATGCTATGTGGGTGGGCGTACTAATTATTACCACGGCGGCGGTCCCCGCCCTTGCGATCATCGCGATCTTTACCCTTCCCCTTGCCATCGAAGTTCCCCTTCTTGGCATCACGTCCGGGCTTCTTCTTGTTGGGGTTGAGCGCGTCACGAGAGATTTCGAGGAGAGCCCCAATCGTCTCGGGGGTAGGGCCGAGCCAGCCCGGGGAGTTGGGGAACGGGCAGAGGTTGGTGGGGTGGTCAGTAGCGAGACAGATATTGCAGTGGAGCGGGCGATGGAAAATGCGACCCTGCCCGTGAAAAGGGGGTGTTGATGACGAGGTTCCCAAACAAGCGGCAAAGGGCCTCGAAGTCGTCCTCATTGGTAGTCGGGGAGTGGATGTATACATTCCAGGCCGTGAAGGGGCCGATGGACGAAAGGAGCTGAATGTCGCCAACACCGATGGATTCGCAGAAGGCTTCGAAAGCTTGATCGGCGGTCATATCCGCAGGGAAAGCGTCGCGGTGGGCCCGGATGAAACGCCCGATGGAGGGATCAGCTGCGACAGCATCAGCGATGATGCGGAGTGCGAGATCTTCTTGGTCTTGGTGGATCGTGAAACCCTGGAAGGTTCCCACATAGCCGGAGATGGGGGGACGGTAAGCGTGAAAGAAGGTGGTGATGATGTCGGAGCAGAGGACACCCAAGTCGAGGAGGGCCTGCGCTTGGTTAAGCGTGAGGCCGGCGACAAGCCAAGCGATAGGATCAGGACCGGAGCGCTTCGGGTCGGGAGAACGATCAGCAAGGCCCGGCGAGCCGATGAGAACATCACTGGGGGTCATGTTAAACCGATTCGCGATGTGGTCGCGAAGTCTCTGGGCGGTCTGGACGCGGTCGCCGTTGCCGCCAGAGATGGTGCAGATAATCTTGGGGTGTTCGACCTCGTCCCACTGGCCGAGCTGGATGTTCGGGTGGTTGCGGAAGAGGCGCGCTGCTGTCATGCCGTAGATGTGGCGGAAGCCGTGGGCGGGGGCGGGGGTGAAGGATCCGCGGGGGGGATTTGCGTCCTCTGTGAAGTAGTTTGGACGGGCGCGTCCCCGGGGAGCAGGAACGGGAGTGGCGGTGTCACGGGGGACGGCACGGCCGGTGGTATCAGCACGCTGACGCTTGGGGGGCGAGTCGAGGATGGGCTCGCTATCATCGCGGTGGCGGGAGGAGGACGCGCCGGTGGCGTTGGGAGCTGCTTGGTTGCTGAGCGAGAGGGCTTTGGTGCGCGCGAGATCCGCCTCCTCGTCGTAATCACCGAAGAGGTCAAGAGTCGTGGCGGGAGGAGCGGGCGAAGCGGGCGCGGCGGGGGAGGGGGAACGAGGTGCAGCAGCCTTCCCCTTCCCCTTGCCTTTGTTCTTCCGGCGTGCTGCGTGGGACGGCATAGATTCGACGCCGGGGCTGGGGAGCGGCGGGAAGGAGCCACGGCGGGGGGACGGAGTCGAGGGAGGGATGGAAGTGGGCGCGATCGTGGGGGTAGACGGGTCACCCAGCTCGTTGGGAGCCGGGATGCGGGCAGGGCTAGATGTGAGCGCAGGCGCAGCCTGGGCAGGCTAATAGCTTGGATGAGCAAGGAAAGATACTGTGAATGGGCATACACACGGGTGTAGTGACAGGCGCCGTATCGACATCAGTCGTGGGTATCGCAACGGATGCCGAGACCTCCACTACCTCAGGGACCGAGGGTAGGGTAGGCGCAGCGGTTTCGGCGCCAGAGTCGTCGGGTTCCGATGCAGAATAGCTTGCAGCACGCTTCGCCGACCTGGCGGCGCGTTCCGACATAGACGAGGACTTGCTTTTTTGGGCCATTTGGGACAAAGGGATATCAGTGAGCTGGAGTGCGAATGGAATGTGAGTGGGTTTCTGGGGTGAAGAAAGATGCAGCAGACGTGCCGGTTATATCTCATTCGAGACAAAGAACGAGCGCGGATTGGCTCTGAAAAGACATCGGAGCTCTAGAGCGAGAATGCAGGGTCCAGTGATGGAGGTACAGCGATGCGAGGTGCCTCGAGGTCGGGCTTTCGGTCGCCACGCAAAAAGAGCGCACAGCGTGGGGACCTCTTTGTACTTGCAGAGAACATAGTGGCGCAGGCAGAATAGCAGTTGGGATGGAGACAAAGGTCAATGTACGGGCTCAGTGGCTCCCAGCCGGTGGGAGCTCGCGGATAGCAGGGGACGCCCCGATGCAGTGTGCGCCATAGTGGCGGCGATGAGAGGTGCGGAGAGCACGTCAGGGCTTGCTTGTTCTTGTTTGACGGTCGTGGGATCGGCCCTAACCCACTCCCAGGGACAGAACACCAGTGAGACTGGTGGTCGTGGCCTACGCGGCATGTCAGGAGGTAGAAACGACGTACTCGAGAGTTATCCAGCTAGGCTCAGGCAGGGAGAGGGCTCCCCGTCGTCATTACCAGGCTAGAGAACGATCTCGCCCCCCCACTAGCGCGTGGGAAAATCCGACCATTGTGGTGGTACGGAACAAGGGACCTCCTGGTCGAATTCAACATTTTTCAACCAGTCGGACAATGCCTTTAAAATTGAGTATTTGGAGTGAGTAGGAAGGACCCAGTGGTGTAATGGTTATATGTCTGTGGATGGTTCGTATTTGAAGATGTTGGCATGGAAGTTCCCTGTTCGATTCAGGGCTGGGTTGTTCTTTTCTTTTCTTTTTCGTTTCATTCATTTTTTTCAACCGGCAGAACATTACATTGAAAGTCAAGGTTATATGGTGACACAAGTAATGTTCCACCCGGCCTGTTCAACTCAGCACCGGGTTAATTTTTCGTTCTCCGAATTCATTATATTTTTTTTCAACCAAGTTGAAATTGAACATTTCAAGGCAAAATGGGAAGGACCCGGTGCTGTTTTTCTGGTGATAGAAACAAGGTAGCCAGTGGTTTCTCGTACCCCATTGATTAGGGTTTTTTCTGCGGATAATTGCCGATGGGAGCCCGTCGTTATTTCTGGTTTCTATTGCATATCACATAAATGAAACAAAAGTAAATATATATATACGGTGGATGCTGGCGAAAATCACTGGCTGCCAGCGAAAACCATGAAGATTCTTTGCCTTGTGCAATGCGAACTCAGTGATGGGTGATTGACGCTGATCAACGGTGGTTTATCTTATCAACCGTTATCCATAGCGAAAAACCACTGGTGGCCGTCGGCGGACTTGTAAGTGGCGCGTATATAACTCATATTGCCGGGAAGATATTGCCGGGCAGATATTGTCGGGCACTCCCGATGCGGAACGAGTTTCTCCGGTGGGCTTCATTTCCCTTCAGTACCTCAGTTTTGAAGGCATTCTCATAAAAGCTAATAGAGTATTCTGGCGGAGGACTTCCGCGAAAAAGTGCCTCTTTAGAATTCTCATTGTAACAGTTTGAATATTCACTTTCGCGACATTTTTCCAAATCAAAACAACCGACCCACGGCAGCTTCCGGTCGTAATACTAGCTACCGGTTAGATTGCTCCAGTCGCTCTTCCGCTTTCCCGCCGGCGTATTATGGACCTAGGAATATGACCCAACCGGCGATAAAAGTTTTTTTTCCATTGCATGGCATTTCAAATGAAAAAAATTGAATTAAATTGAATTAATCGCATTGACGACGGGCCACGTGACGTGAAACTGGACGGTTGCTGTGACACATTTGTCTCTTCTCCGCCGCTGCTCACGATGAGCTCGAGCCTGACGATCCCGTCTCCGTCCCGCCCCGTCTCAGTCGCCGCCGGGCCGACATCCCCGCCCTCCCGACGCCAGCAGCCCCCGCACCGAGCGTCGCACCAAGTCGCCTCATCCTCGTCCGCTGGGCCCACGTCCAGTGGTGGCAACAACGGCGGCAGCGACGACCCGCCATACAGCGACGTGTACTCGCACCCAGCAGCTATCGCGTATGCCTCCGCCCACCCGCGTCGCACCATCCCCAAGTTTGGCCCGTATCTCCTGCTGCAGACCCTCGGCGAGGGCGAGTTTGGCAAGGTCAAGCTCGGTCTGCACGCCCAGTGGGCGGAGGAGGTCGCCGTCAAGCTCATAAGAAGGGGAAACGTCGACAGCGCAGTCCGCATGAGCAAGGTCGAGCGCGAGATCGAGGTGTTACGGGTGCGTGTTGCCTTGTCAGTATTGACTGATGTTCTTGAGTTTGACGCTGGGCACAGACGCTGAAACACCCGAACATTGTGCGGCTGTACGATGTCATCGAGACCGACAAGTACATCGGCATCATCATCGAGTATGCGAGCGGTGGCGAGGTGCGTTGTTGCCGTTTCTCTCTCTCTTTCTCTCGTTAATCACCCCTCGCACAGCTATTCGACCACATCCTCGCACACCGCTACCTCCGCGAGCGCGACGCGAGCAAACTCTTCAGCCAGCTCGTCAGCGGCGTATGGTGGGTGCCTTTTTGTTCCTTGCCTTTTTGTGTCTATTATTGTTTTCTTATTTCTTGTCATTTCTTGCCTTTTTGTTTTTCTTCTTTCTTGTCTGTTTGTTTTTATCATATCTCGCCTTTTCGCCCGCGCATGCCTGGCCCATGTGTACCTCCTGTGGCGGGCCGCTACTCGGGGCTCGGGCCAACTCCATCCGTGGCTGGTGTATATATACACGTTCCGTTTTTGTTATCGTTGCGTGTGCGGTGTGCCTCGCTTGGCGGGGCTTCCCGATACGCGCCGGCTCTTGTGCTTCGGTATTGCCGCTGCCATTACCATTGCTTATTTCCTTTTTCTTCTTCTCCCGTCCTTTCTTCCTTCGCCCAGCTTTTCACAAGCCCGCGCTTGCTTTGCTCAGGCGCGCAATGCAATTCGTTCTTTGTTCTTTCTTTCTTTATTCGGGGACGCCAACTTTTTTGGCTTGCGTGCGCACGGGTGTTGCGTGGGCGTTCGTTGGGGGACCGCCTGCCAGTTTAAACATTCCAGCGCCTGCCCGATCGGGAGGACGCACGCACGCACGCACACATCCGCGATCCTTCGCCCGTGTCGTCCACGAGCCGCCGCGGTCCTTTGCTCGTCTGGGCCACTGGTAATCCAGTGGTGAAAGGGCTGGATGCGACCCCCGGAGACGGAGAGCTGTGGTGCCCGTTTGGGGACTATCGTGCCTTCTGGGGACTGGGGCGCGACGCTCGTACACCGGGGTCGGGGACGTGGGTGTTCGGGACTGGGACTGGGACTAGGCCATTTTTTTTGGTTTTTTATCATTGCGCATTCTTGATATCGCCGTCTTTCGTTTGGCTCCATGTCTTGGATTCATCCGTTCCTCCGCGTCCCGTCCGTCCATGCCCATCCACTCGGTACCTTTCCCTTCTTAGTCATTCCATTCCTTGTCATTCCTTGCCCATCACTTCCCTCAATGAAGAACACCACTAACGCACTAAACGCCCAGGTACATCCACCAAAAAAGATCGTCCACCGCGACCTCAAGCTCGAGAACCTGCTGCTTGACCGCCACCGCAATGTTATTATTACCGACTTTGGTGCGTTCTTTTCTGTCTTTCGATCGATGAGTTGTCGTTCGGGGAGACCGGCGAGGCGCATCTCGGGGATTATGGGGGAGGCGCCTCGTCTCGCGGGCGGGGGCGAGGCTCCGTATGGCAGTGGATAGACGTCCCAGCACGCCCGTCGCGTAGTGTGCTGATTGGCAAACAAATCTTCGCCATCTCCCCCTTCTTTTAAAAAAAGAATCTTCCCCATCCTTTCCCACCGCCGGGAAAAAACAATACTAACGCGCCTCATACAGGCTTCGCCAACCGCTTCGAGCACCGCGCGGACGACCTCATGCAGACGTCGTGCGGGTCCCCGTGCTACGCCGCACCGGAGCTGGTCATATCTGAGGGTGCGTGTTTTTATCTTCGAGTGGGTTTTCCCAACACTAACCCCCCTTCTCGCAGGCCTCTACGTCGGCTCCGCCGTCGACATCTGGTCGTGCGGCGTCATCCTCTACGCGATGCTCGCGGGGTATCTCCCCTTCGACGACGACCCCGCGAACCCGGACGGGGACAATATAAATCTGCTGTACAAGTATATCGTTAATACGCCGTTGTCGTTTCCGGAGGTGCGTTGGTTTTTTTGGGGGGTGCTCGTATTTTACTAAGGAGTTGCTTTTTCTTTTCCAGTACATCTCCGAAGAAGCGCGCGACCTGCTGGGGCTGATGCTCGTTCCCGACCCACGGAAGCGCGCGAGCCTTGAGGCGGTGATGGCGCACCCGTGGCTCGCCGCATACCACCTTCCGCGCACGGACCCGGACCCGGAGGCGCTCGACGGGGAGCGGCCTGCGGTGGCGTTCGGGCGCACGGTGGACGAGCTGGAGATGGCGGCGATGGAGCAGCACCAGCAGAAGCGCCTGGCGTACCAGCGACAGATGCGTGGGACTGGCGCTGCGAATAGTAATGCGAATGTGCCGATGGGGCGGACGCAGTCGCAGGCGCAGGTGCAGAACGTGCCGCCGATGCCGCAGAGCCCGCCGCTGCCGGCGAGGAGCCGGACGGCGCAACCCGAGTTTTTGTATGTTTCTCCGACGGGGGGCAGTGGGGGCGTGGGGGTTGGGGTTGGGGAGGAGGACGATCCGTTTGGGCCTGCGCCGGGGAGTCGGCGGCCGAGGGAGCTGGAGCGGGATGGCGAGGCAAGGGGGGAGAAGAAGGGGAAGGGTGGGGCGGCGGGCGAGGGGGGCAGTGGGAGTGTGGGGAAGAAGGACGGGGACAAGTTTAGGCATACGATCCAGGTGGAGTATGAGGAGAGGAGGGGGAGGGCTGCTGCTGCTGCTAGTAGCGCGACGGGGTCTGCGACTGTGCCGATACCGATACCGCCGACGCCCAAGACGAATGGCGCGGGTGGGGAGGGCGGGGAAGGGGATGTGAAGATGGGGAGTCCGGCGAGTGCGAGTGGGAGTGTGACGGAGCGGCGGGAGAGGCGGAGGAGGGGGAGCGCGGATGCTGCGGATCAGCCGCGGTCGGTTGGCGGGACGCCTACGAGCACAAGGGCTGGTGCTCTTTCGACGACGCCGACTTCGACGCCGACGCGGGGCGCGGTTCCGCCGATTGCTACTACCAACGCTGGGACGCCGACTGGGACGCCGACAAGGGGGCCTGTTTCGCCGACGACGACGCCGACAAAGCAAGGACACGCGAGGGCGCCGTCCAGCGCGAGCGTGGGGAAGGCGCTGCCGCCGAATCCGTCGAGCCCGCCGACGACGTGGAAGGCGCCGCATTCGCCGACGAAGAGCGTCGTGGGCCCCGGGGAGGTCGTGCGCACGCCGGTGATGGAGGTGTTTGGGGCGGAGAAGGAGGGCGACAAGGAGAAGACGGAGGCGAACAACGACACCAAGGACGACAGCGAGAAGACGGATTCAGCGCAGGCCGGGAAGGAGAAGGATGGGAAGGACGGGAAGAAGAGCCGGCGCAACACGCTGACGGGCCTGACGGTCATGGTGGACCCGATCCGGTCGATCCGCAACAATATGAGCATGCGCAAGCGGGATGCGAGCGGCGCGACGACGGGGAGCATGCAGCTTGCGCCGCCGGCGGTCAAGGCGCCGCCGCACACTGGCGGCGGGGCGGACGGGAAGTCGTTTGCGCAGCAGACCGGCCCGGGGGCGAATGTGTCGCAGCCGGACGTGGGGAGCGGCGGCGGGGCGGGGATGCAGGCGAGCACGAGCAAGGCGCGC